TGAAACTCCGACGAAACAGTTTGTCACAGCCCCTCGTTTGTTGTCCTCTTCTCTCTCTCTGCCTACGGTTTTACCGGGCAGTTCTGTTTGTGACGATATATGTATTGACATTGATATATTCTATTCTATTACATTATATTACTTCCGTATGCACAACATAACACGAGCCAAATAGACCTAAGCAACATAAGTACTTATAAAGATCACTGCAAGTGCTTATCCTTTTTTTTCCTTTCTTTTTTAACGCACGCATCATCAAAGGTGTGTGTTCAATAGAATCAGCAATTTAGAGTACCGGCATTGATTTGACTTTCGATGGAGTTTCAGAATGAACAAGAACAACCACACTGCCTGTGGAAAGCTGCCGTGCCTGTGGAAACTCAGGCATGAGTGCTAGAAGAATCTGGGCACGCTTTTCTCTATTCTTAGTATTCTTAAAGAGAGAGAGAGCGGGGAAGCCGGGCCATTGTTTTTTTTTTTTTTTCCTACTTTCGTAGCAATCTGGAAACACTTCTCTCTGCAAGTTTGCGTTTTTTTTTTTGTTTTTTTGTTTTTTTTTGGATCTGGTTTGGACTTTGAAGAATTGTTTATGGTATCAAGTTGGTTGTCCGTGGGTGAATCGCATATCCCCTCCTCCTTGGGGTTGCAGTTGGAACTAGGAAGTGAGGTTTTTTTTTTTTTTTTTTTTTTTTTTTTTTTTTTTTTTTTTTTTTTTTTTTGGGGGGGGGTTAACCTTTTTTTTTTTTTTTTTTTTTTTTTTTTTTTTTTTTTTTTTTTTTTTCCTTTTTTTTTTTTTTTTTTTTTTTTTTTAAATCGTTTGTTCCTTTGTTTCCCAAAAGGGCATATGGGAAAAAAAGGGAGTATTGAGCTCTGAGTCAAACTGGGGGAGAAACAGATTTTGTGTGTTTTCTGGACTTTCACTATGTGTCTGCCTTGCTGCAGTCTACAATAAACTCGAACGAACACGGCAAGGTTTGTTCGCTGACAGAGTTATGGTGAGAGTTCTTTGTTTTTGATGGAGAGCAGTGCTGCACACCCCGACGGTTGGCAGCCCTTGACTGGTTGGCTGCTGACCCGCCGACCGGTTGGCTGGTCAGTTGGGGGTCGTCAGCACCCCCGCAATTTTTTTTTTAACTTTTTTTTGGGTCCAGAACCTCTAATAACACCACCAACACCTCCATAGCGGCCCCCAATACCCCCATACACCCCCCCAGCACCCCCAAACCGCCCCCAGCACCCTCATTACCCCCCAATAACCCCCAATACCCCCCCTGTACTCCAACCCCAACCCCCCCCTAACCCCCCCCATCCCCAAAAGTTTCTCAGCGGATTTGGGCTACACTCAGCACGCGGAGTACAGCCCCCAACTCAGATTCGAAAAAAAAGTCACTGGATGGTTGTTTTCTGACTGGCCGGCAGACCGCCGACCGGTCACCCCTATTGGTCAGCTGCAATACGGTCGGCGGTCGGGGTCGGCGGTCGGCAGGCATGCAACCCTGATTGAGAGGTATTGTCTCTCTTTATTGGTTTCTGCAACTTGCTGGGGGGGGGGGAGAAAGCGGAACCAAAATTTGTCAGGTCCATTCAAGGAAACAGTACGTCACAGTCCCTCGTTTCTTCTTCTTCTTCTTCTTCTTCGTCTTCTTCTTCGTCTTCTTTTCTTTTTTTCCCCTTTCTTTTTCTGTCTACGGTTCCCCAGTGCCACATGAGATGAAAAGAAGGGCAGGAGGAGGAGGAAGGGCAGGAGGAGGACGAACAGGAGATGAAAAGAAGAAGGGAGGAGGAGACATGGAGGATGAGGAAGGGGAGGAGGAGCAAGGTGAGGCAGTACTCCTGTAAATGTTTTTTTCGTCTGCTTATAATTTTGGCGGGGGGCCTCAAACGCACCGTTTCGACCCCGGCCTTTTTTTTTCTGAGGGGGTTGACAGGTCATTCTCTGCACACGTCGTCCGCCGCACGGGATCGGTTGGGCGGGTGTGCCGCACGTAGGGAACCGCCCGCACGACGTGCGCTTGCATGTATGGTTCGAACTGTTGAACTGTTTGAAGCCGCGACAGCCTTGAGATATCGCCATTCATTGAGCGCACCGGCCCCAGGTAATTCAGAATGATTTTATATCATTCCATCTGATCGCAGCTGGATTTGAACCAACCTGGGTCTGTACTTCAACAGTTCATTGGGTGTACCAACTGAGCTATATAGGCCCGTTGGTCTGAACAACTTTTGCCTCAGGGTCACATCGAAATTATTTACCAAATTTAAAAGAAAAAATAAAATTAATAAATAGTTTTTTTTTATCTAACAACTCCCATAAAACTTTTCGGCCGCGGACGCGACTCTCGCGTCTGCGATGGTCCACGTTAGTGTTTTCCCGTGGAGACGCCCGATGTAAAAATTCTGATGCGCCAGTG